CGATGGGGAATTCTACATTCGCCCGCCAGCTGGGTGCAGTCGTTGGCGCTGCGCTTAGCACACACATATTTTCAAGGTCGTTTTCGACAGCGGTTGGAAAGCTTTTACCTCTTCCCGAGCCACTTGTCTCGCTGAGTGACGGAAAAGCAGCTGTCCGATTTATCCCTTTGCTAAAACATTTGGATCTTTTGGTCGGTGAAACAAGTGCAATCGTTGGTGTGTATGAGCGTGCGATGACGGCTGTGTGGATTGCTATAACCGTTATCAGTGGGTTGGGATTGGTGTCCAGTATCCTCGTCCGTGAGCTTAAAGTGGGAGAGAAGGATACTGGAAAGCAGACGCTGCAAGGGTGATATATTTTGTACCATTGTGGGCTACATATATATGACCAGCTCCCTTTCTTTTTACCACGGGCTTAGGATCCAGAATAACATACCTTAACTAGTCATAAGTATAATAAAACGCCTAGCCTGCAAAGCTTCGAATTTTTATCTCTATGGCCGTCTATGCTCCAATTACACGAGAGGCTGGTTCCTCCGTGCAAGGAAAAAGTGATGTAAGAATAAACTGGAGTTCATTCACTAGGTCACTAGGAACAGCTTTCAAGGGAAATGACGACACTAGCCCACATATGTATTTGATCCATTCCGTCTATGTATGTAAGTCGCAACAAGAGATCACTCCACATAACTAGTCAGTGTGATTCCAATGAGCCAAGCCATACGCGACAAGATCAGTCATAAGCCTGCCGCCTGCAGAGACATCATGGTACAAACTCGAGTCTTTTATACCATTGCAGCCGCCAACCTCTTCACTGCAATCCTTCTCTCCCCCACTACAAACACCCACAATTGTGGGCTGCCCATCAATATATTCCCACATCGGCCCTCCAGACCAACCAGGCGAAGCAAACACTCGAGTCTCCAATTCCTTCCCGAGACGCCCATGGAAATCGACATTAAGAAGCGTGATGTTGGACAAAAGCATTTGCTCATTCCCTTGAAACGCATCAGTAGGGTATCCAGAACTTCTCCATGGTCTATCCATATAGGAATCCCCATCCTTCCACCACTTTGTACCCATCCAACCAGTCAAGTCCCCGAGCGGTTCGCAGAGCTGGCAGACGATGTAATCAATCCCGGTGACATTAAAAGTATTTTTGACCCCGCGGCATTGTGATACGTAAGAGCTACCATATGGCTCGACGCCGTTGCCAAAACCTGGTGAAAATCTCATCCATCGATTCCTGCCATATCCCCATGGAAAACAGTGGCTGGCGGTGAGTATGAGGTTTCTCCCGACTAAAGACCCCGTACACCACCCTCCATTATCGATATTGGAACGCTGGAAGAATAGCCGGCCGATGGTGTTCCATGGATAAGTCATGGGGTTTACGACACGGTCACGATAGTATAGGCCCGTGTTGTTAGGGTTGAGATTCGCAAGCATATACGCATTCTCTGCTGCCCAAGGGTCTAGCTGAGGATGATTTTCAACTTGGTGGGTCTCAATCGGATTGTATCCAAGCGTGCTCCCAGAATCTGCACCCAGGGTGGTATCTAGCGCGCCATTGCCAGTATTCCAAAACGACGAATAACTCACAACACGATCTAGATCCATTTGTATCAATTCTTCGGCATCTAGGTTTGGCAGAATAATAGGAGATCCCTTGCTGTCCCTGAAAAGCGGTACAGCCGTGACAGAGATAATAACGATAGTAAAGGGAATGGCAAAGCGAGTGACTGAAGAGCAATGCATTTTATGCCCATGGGAATGATAAGATCCGATTAGCCATCAATGATTGAAACAGGGACTCTCATATTGCAAGAGTCCCTCGAATCAAGAAGGGGGGCTTTCTCAATAGAAGAAGTGCCTAGAGAATGCGGATCCAACGATTCGATGGACATTGACTCCCACGATGTGAAATGAGACTATCGCACCTTCTGGACAGCATAATAACAAAACAGGCAGCGTTGCGGCAGTACAAGTACCATTGAAAGTGGTGCATCTCAATCACGCTTGCCAGCTCCTGCCCCCAGCACCGGCGCTGGGGATATTCATTTTTCCATCATATTTTCCTTTTGAGAGGGACCCAGAGCAATCCAACAGAAAATAATGGACAGATTTTAAAATAAGAATTATAAAGGAAAGAAAAAGGTTAAGCACAAGGGAACGAGTCAAGGTAAAAATATATATATACTAGTACAAGTATCTGTTGCACGTTGAATGCCAGGCTTATTGAGTTTCAAATAGACCTAACTGGGATCTCCGACGAGAGAAATGTCCCATTGTTCTCCGCAAAAATAAACAGATATATGGAAACATAGAAACAAATACTGAACCGCCTGCTAGAGTGGTCGTGATCAAGCATTGGCAACACAGTTGAGTTGGCTCAACTGTACGCCTGAGATACCCAACAGGGCAGATCCGGAAACGACTCCGCACTGCTTCTGGAGAAAGGACACTCCGCGTCGATTGAACCAGCTCAATGGCTGAGATATCTGGATTGAGGAGAAAAGCAGCTCAACGTTTTTATGGCATTGCATCAGAGATACCCCGGATCATTGGTCGGGCCGAGCCACTCCTTGCTGCTACCTAGGTCCGGAGCGACATCCTCTCTGATCAACCTCTCCAGGACTGAATTGTATCTGCCGTCTACAGATCCAACTAGAACTCCAGGATAAGATATGACTTGCTGTCTATTCCTTCGGGGTGACTGTCAGCGGCAATTGGAACGACTAATTATTCCTCCTTTCGCAAATTATACCTCTTGTCCTTCCCTTTGGGCGAGTCGTTGACACCCTGGCTTGAAACAGCGAAGCCCCCATGTTTTCTTCCATCTTTAGAGCGGATAGATTCTCAAATCATGGATCCTGTTTTGGGACTTCATTTATGCGGATGTTTTGCGCTAGATATCCGTGTTTCATACCATCCTTTTACCGTGGACCAGAATAATCGATGCGAGAATGTCGTCCTTTAATTGATGAGATGTGACATGCGATATTCCAACTATATCATATGGCTGATGGCGATAGCTACTTAGGATATGCACAGACATCAGGGCACAGCATCTACATCCTAGGGATTTGCAACCCAAGCTACGAAGGTCTAATCCGTACCGCTGTTGACAACTCCCAAGGTACCAATGGAATGGGGGGGCCTGGCTATAGCCGTTTGCAGGTGTCGTTTATTTGGCTGTTTTTAAGCTATAAGTCAGACGTCTGAATTATGCCTATTTCGAGCCCATTCAAGTAATTCGCTGTTATGTATGTTCGCTATATAGCTGATATATTTAGCTACACCCTTTGAGCTGGAAATCTGGTTTTCTTTTCTTTTCTTTTCTATTCTTTCTTTTTGGAACATAACCTTCCAGTCCGCTTATTCGGTCTCCGCTTCTTTTGTGTTTATCGAGACTTTTCAGGCCCAGGCTGGCTTCCATTTTTGCGAACTTCACTGGCTGAGGCTGTTCTTTCTCACTCACTGTTCCGATTTTCCTCATCTTTCATAATTTGCTTTACATCATCCGGCACAGAAACCAACTGGCATCATGTCTATATTTAAACATGCTGTCTCGCCAGGGTTCTTGCCTCTATCTCTCTCGCTCTCGAATTGAGTCTCTTGAAAGAAGAATGTTGACGTTATCCCCAGATTTCGCGGCTATCTGATTGGCCGGTACCCTTATATGCCTCACCCATTAGCCGTTGCCGGGTGGTCCGCTACCGCAAGTGACAAGTTCATACACTAACCCTGAAATCATTTGCCATCGCGATGCCGAGCCAGGAACTGCGACTGCGGGAGTGTTTGCAGAAGGCACCATGCAATTACAGTGGACTGGTAGGCAGAAAGCTACCATTGGCCCATTTATACACTTATCTGACGAAGTGCAAAGGAGACTGACTGCTCAATGGTCGACAAAACAACCCTAGAGTTCTTTAACACCAAAGAAGCTGGTCTCGTTGATGATAGCCAAAATCCCGGTCAATAACCATCCGTCAACTTATTACAAATAACAGCATTTGGAGACTCACTACCCCTTCAGCCATTGCCCCCGGATATTATATCCTCCGACATGAAATAATTGCCCTTCATGTTGCGTGCGAACGCAATGGCGCCCAAAATTACCCGCAATAATTCAATCTAAAACAACAGATTGGGAATGATCCAACCCCGGGAAAAGGGTGGAACTGCTTTCTACCAATCGACCAACCGTGGCATTGAAATTAATATTTACAATCCATTTAATGGCTATGAAATTTTGGTTCAGCCCTGTGCAATGATGGCAGAGACTGGAGACTACCAAGGTTCGATCCCAAACCAACCGTTCGCACCAATTTATACCCTCCAGCTTCCCATATTGTCCCGCCAGAGATCACACCAATCATGCCAATAGCCACACCATCCCCATGCAACTCCTAGCATACCCAATGGTACACCCACCACACCCACAGTCACCAGACGGTGTTCAGCGCGATACATCAAAAAATCCCAGAGACCTCATCCTTAACGAATTCAACTACAGGAGTTAATGGATGATTGTCGGAATTTATATGGGTGACTCTGCTGTTTCCACTCCGTTTTACCAGCTAGCTTTTTTGCTCAACTTTGAATGTATATACTTACAAGCATTTTCATTGCTATATACTCCTTGATTCGCGGGCTAATTGAACTCATCTTCGTCAAGGAGTGCTTAACCCAAAGCCACCTTTAACTTCCTCAAGCCGCCATGTATGTACCAAAAACCGAATGCTAAGGTTTTTATGGAATATGATAACGAGAATTACTGTTTCAATATGTCATTATTTAGGCAGTCCCCCTTCAGTCATTTAACGTAATAAATTTCCGTTCTTACTTCTTTCTTTACATTAGTGATCAGGCTCGCGGGCGGGGAAGTTCAGCCTGGCTTGTGAGTCAGCATCCTAGCTCCCGTATCTTCGGGGCTCCCACAAACCCACATCAGTGATATTGTTTCGAACCTTATCAGAGCTAGCTACTCGGAAATACACCTCACCAGCTTGGATGGTCAAGCTTGGGAAAATAGAAAGGGATTTGAATCCTCATCACCCCAGCTTACCCAACCCTATATCACAGAAAATATAAGGTCATTCTGCACCATGTTCAAGAAGAAGCCCGTTGTAGGTGTTATCCTAGCCCTCATCCTTATCATCCTTATCCCACTCCGCCACACACCAGGGAATGGTGTTCTTGCTCACCTAAAAAACAACAGGTCAAATCGCTCGCACCCCTCCGCTCTTCTGACCGGCGGAAAGTAGCAGATCAAATTATTCAGCAATTCAAAATTGAAATACCTACACCCACTGCCGCAACGAGCCAAGAGCAACCAGGAGCCCCGCCAAATGAAGCCGCAACTACCCTTACAGCACTCCGCAAATCCCTTCTGCCAGATAATACGATGTCCGCGCGGTTCACGACTACCGCAGGACCGGATCTAACCCTTGTCCAGGGCACGATCTATGTCGGTTCACATGCTGACGACGACGAACGAATTCTCTGGGTGCGGCCAGAGCAAGGTGCAGGCACAGATGGACGTCTATACCCTACAGTCTATACACTATGGCGCCACCCGCGTCTCGTCCCTCTACTGCATACCCCAAACTTGGTGATGGACAAACTGTACGGGGGTGCGGATTTAATGACGCCAGGCTTAGCCAATGGGCCACCCTTCCCTGCACGGGCGGTCAAGGGAGAGATAGTTGCGGTCGCGAGCTTGGCGAAGCCTAGTGTGCCGACGTTCGTGGGTGTATGCGAAATCGATGTGGCTGCGTTGGAGCAGGTTCGGGGGGTGAAGGGACATGCTGTTAGAGGGGTGACCTGGGAAGGGGATGAGCTGTGGAATTGGGGTTCTATAGGAAAACCCGGTCAGCAGTCGCCGGAGCATATTGATGGCTGGATGGGTGATGGTGATGCAGTGGAGAAGGGGTTGGAAGAATTGACGATGGAAGATGGGAAGGGTGAGGTTGATATCGAGGGCGAGGGCGAGGAAGAGGGCGGTGTCTCGCTGGATGCGGATGAAGTGAACGAAGACGACCCGATCCTAGAACAGCAATTACAGGAACCTACCACCAAAGGTATGATTTTCTTCCATGACTTTCTGCTATGGAATCCAGTCACGGAAATCTCTAATTGACATCCAGAAATCGATATGGCTTTTCACAACGCTTTCCTCTACTGCCTTTACCAACATAAAATGGACAACCCGTCCACACCTGACCATGGAATGTCATTTCCCATCCAAGCGTCCTTTTTGATATCCAATCTGATAACGCCATTCCTACCAATACACTCAGCACAACAATCGCAATTTTATAATATCAAAAAAACATCTTGGAAGAACGTGAAGAAATTCATCAAGCATCTTGACAAAGAAGGCTTGGTTAAGGCTAAAGACCGCAACGGCGGTGAGACAATAATCTTGGACGCCGATTTTGAGGCCGCCCAACTTGACGATTTTGTTCCATATGAGCTTCCCAAAAAGAATAGCTCGGACAAAGCTGCCAAATCCGTTTCGTTAGGAGGAGATGACAAAGATCTCGCTGTGGGCCAGTCATTCACCGTGAAAACGCTGTACCGACCAAGCGGGAAACTTACACCCACCTTATTTCCGCCGCTATCAAACAGGGATGTGAATAACTACTACACAAGCTCAGATGTTTCAAAACGCCTAAATGATTATCTCACTGCCCAAGACCCTCCCATCATATCCACCACAAATCCACGTATTATATCTCTAAATCCATTCATCAGTAACACCATCCTGTCCTCTTCGCCCAACGACCTCGCAATTCTCAAACGCGGCATCATCCAACGCGACGCGATCCTCCGACGCCTACTTGAGGACCCTTCGCTCTGCGCCCCTTATCACGCCATGCTAAAGCCCGGCCAGACTCTCCACGACGTAAAGCCAAAAGCAGGTCCCGGCCCCAAGGTTACCGTGACCATTGAGCGTCGCACAGGCTCAAAGGTAGTTACCAAGATAACGGGTTTAGAACCGTTCGGTGCCGCACCGCAGTTGTTGGCGGATGAGTTGCAGAAGAAATGTTCGAGTAGTACGAGCGTTTCACAGGCCGTGGGAGCGGCGAATGGAGTGATGAGCGTGTTGGTTCAGGGCGATCACCGTAAACTTGTTGAAGCAGCGCTGGCTAACCGGGGGGTGAAATCTCAATGGATAGACATTGTCGATAAGTCTCAGAAAAAGGGAGGGAAATGAGCGTGGCTTTATTTTTCCCGCTTCGAAAACTGATACGTATACCTTTGTCTGATGTACCAGGTGGGAGGATTCTAGCAGTTTGTCAAGATATATTGACTGTTAGTAACGAGCTCAACGAGGATGCATGCTCTTGATTTTGCGATATTTGTTTGAATAAACGGGGAGCTCCCTCCCTTGTGTCCGTAGAAACCTACAAAATAAGGTTTAATGTATCCACAAAGTGGGACGAACCCCTGTGGCTCGTTACACAGAGATGTGCTGCAGTACGGCGTTTTTCTCTGTATCGACTCCCCTGACGCCTCCAAGTCGGACCATTAAAGAAGGAAGATAATTGGTGCAGCGATGGACAGCCATTAAATTGTAAAATACATCATGACTGGTCGCTAATTCACGTGAGATCAGAAAATATAACGAAAGGTTCAGCAGCGATAATTCAACATTTTAATCGTACATCCATGGCTACAATAATTTCTATATAGACGGTATATTTATGCATAAAATGGTGCAGCAGCGTGTTTAGCCCCCCTGTTTTTATATTTATTCTTTGCCTCTTTTTTTTTTGCTTAGTATACATAACTATCTGTTCTCAATCTCAAGCGAAGCTCTCGAGTCCTTCCGACTTCATAATTTTTTGAAATGCCACACGGAGCGAATTCTTCTTCTCGTTCGTTCCGTGCCCGTGCAGTAATGTTGACCTTTTCTTTACCTAAGACTAAATCTCCTGTGCGATTATTAACAACTGCTATTCAGTGCGAAAATTGTCGGCTGAGAAAGGTGTGATATCTCTGTGTCTGCTACGCGTCTTAAGCCGGAATCATATAACATCGAGAAATTCTAGTCGATGGAGCCTACTAATGGAGCTGGTCTAACATCTTTGTCCAGATCAAATGTGATAAGGCCATTCCATGTTCCAGCTGCGGAACACTCGGGATCACTTGCCATGCCGCTTCTTCGAGGCTCACAGAGCGACCTCCTGTTGCTCCATCCAACCAGTACGTCAGCCATCCGACTACTTCTTCAAGTGGCTTGGGTATTAACCCAGCCAGTGAGAGAAACTTGGGGTTGATCGAAGACCGCCTTTCTGCGGTCGAAAAAAGTATTCATGAGTTGTCGCATCGTTCCGCCGCCACTGCTTCCGTGGCTTCGTTGGGCCATCATTCACCCTCTTTATCAACCCAGTCATCTCTGGAGATAGCGACTGCTGCATTTGAAGGGCAATCGTCCTTTGGTAGTGCGACTCTACTAGCCAAAAAGGTAGCGGATCTTTCCGTTGCAAGAGTCCCCGGGAGTAAACTCGACGAGAACGTCTATAGAGCCCTCCTGTCCCTAAACAGCAGCCTCGATAAGCATCACCCAGCTCCGCGTTCTTCTGAAACGACAGAAGTTGCAAACCCTGCAACATCCAATTTGAATCTACCTCCGGTGGCTTTCGTGATTTCTCTCATCAAGAGGATCAAAGGTTTGATAGAAGAATGGTTTCCGCCCAAGAGGATTTTGGTTGCGCTGACGTGACATTTAGAGCAACCTCCCTTCTTTCTTGTGCACAATTCTTGGAGAGACTACCTCCAGATCGAAAAACTATGTCAGAAAATTTACTTCCCTTCCGAACCCATCACAGCAGGCTCCATTACCCTTTTGCATGGTTTGCTCTACTTCATCATTCGGGACTATATTCACATTGGGGACACTTCACTTCCTCAACCCGATTGTGCCATATATGCAGACATGTGTGAGAAAAACTTTGTGCAGGGCTTGAAATCCTACGATATATTTGTCAGCCCAACCCTTGAAAAGGTCCAGGCGCTGCTAATTGGGGTAAGGGCTTCCATTCACTCCCTAGCTGGCCCCAGCTAATTTTTCGCTCGCCAAAAGGTGATTAAGTGTCAAGAAGAAACAAACCTTCCGCTGTGCTGGACCTATCTGTCAGTGGCATTTGATATGTGTCAAAGTATGGGATACCATAGCAATTCGGAATTGAAAAGTGATCCCTTCCCAGTTAGTGAGGAGAAGCGACATATTTTCTGGAGACTGTATATGGTTGACAAAAACCTCTCTCTTAACCTTGGCCGCACATCACATTTTCAAGACCATGATATCGATTGCGGAATTTTCATGCCGTCAACTGACCCTCATCAACACCCTTGGGATCTCATGACTCATGTGATCATCAAGTTTTCAGCTATCCAGGGTCGAGTATATGACAAACTATATTCCGTTTCGGCATCGCGCTCGCCACCGGAAGAAAAGATGCGTGTCATGGAACAGTTATCTACCGAGTTGATTGAAGTGCGGAATGAACTCCTTGAGGTATGCTAACTTACGTTAAATCGTCGGTCTTCTGTGTCTTCCTGCTGACAACAACGTTTATAGATCGATGTCAGCGGTGGCTATTATGCAGAGTCATTACAAGGAATAGCGGCTTGTGCTGAATTTATCACCTATTCAGTTTTGACTGTCATCTACCGTGCCCAGATGTCTCCGAACGCCATGGCTATAAGTTCCAAATGCCTGGAGGCAGCCAAACTAGGTTTACAGAGTCACTTGAAATGCTTTCCTTACTTCCGCGAACGCAAAAGCCACAAGAAAGCTGAATATGTAACCTGGTCAGCATTTCCATCTCAGAGTTTCCAGGTACACAAGATACTAAACTAACCTATCAATATATCCAGGATTCTTCTCTACCCTTCCTTCACACCATTCGTCATCCTCTTCACCCACGCAATTGCCACTGGAGACTTGGAGGAACTTGCCTTACTCCAGGAAACAGTCGGCTCGCTCGAACTGGTCAAGGATCTTTCCCGCGGCTCCCAACATCTCTACGAAATATGCAAAGCGTTTCTCACCATTGCCGATGCTTTGATCAATTCCCAACGAACCCTGAACGGCCTGGAACACCACGCCGATGGCTCACTTGTACTCCCTTTTATGGCTGATGGACAGACCCAGATTACCTTCCCAGATATCTCATGGACAGAAGATATGTACGATTTTAATATGGACAGTGCTGATATTTCTGGTTTCTTGAATGATTTCCTGGGAACGAACAGGCCCGGGACAGATATTCTCCGCCTAAACTTCAAGTAACCACTTAAGATTTGAAGGCTCCATGCCCCGCTCAAAAAGTGTGGCTGCAAGCAAACCCTGGGATGAAATCAAGCCCCACGGACTAGTATTAGACCAGGATGCAAAATCTACGATTTCAAGTGCATGAACATCCTAGAGAACCCTGGATTCAATTTCTGTGGACAACGATATATAGCTTCACGTCCGATGCATTAATATATTTTGCTATTTTCTTTTTGGGACCTTTCA